GATCCTAACAGGTGCTTTCTGTGCAGCTTACTCTTAAAACCTGTCTTATTTCTAAATTCAGGCTTAAAAAAAAATCCAACAGATGTCAGTGTTTTAGAAACACTATAAAGGTACCAAATCTCCAAATATTAAAAAAATTCCATGAATCTTGAGAATGAATTGAAATAAACAGTATACTGCAAGAACATGTAGAATCTATATACAGAGGTTGGGCTAGATGACTTCCAGAGCTGCCCTCCAACCTGAGTTATCCTATGATCCTACCATCAGGAGGTGCAAGATTACAATTTATTGTAATCATATATACCCTAAATGAATAAGAAAAATGAGAACTATTACTCATAGAAGTAGAACTATAGACAATATAATGAGATCAGAGTATAAAACCAATCTCTGAAAAAAACTGTAATGAGGAATAATGTGATAAACTTAACTGCTTATCATGAAAGACAAACACCATATGTACGATAAACTGAAAACTCTTCTCATGATAGTTTCACACGCAGACTGTGTTCAAATCTGAATTATGGAAAGGCTCTATCTTAGCAGTGATACCACATCCAAAAAAGCAAAGAAATGGCTTCGTGGATAAGAAATATGAGGAACTTGTTTATCTTAAGAAATAATGTGTCTCACTTTTTATGAAACGTTTTTGTAACTTGTGACATGCCACCAACTAACTAAGCAGAAAAAAAAAATCATTTCATATAGAAATATTCAAACTGTTTTCACAAGCAGGGACAAGAGGTATTTTTCCCTCTCTCTAAGAAGCTGCTTAAGGTGAGTGACACAATCATTTCAAGATGCACAATGCATTTCACCCATCACTGAAGCATTATGGCTCTGAATGAAGCGTTGTAAAACAGATTAATATAAAATGCCAAATCCAAAAGCAATGTGGCTTAAATAATACAGATGCTAGATAAGAGGAGGCAGATTAGGTTACAGAATGTACAGTAAACAGAACGTACATAAAAGTGTAAGATAAAGCCTAGTCAAATGCTCATCCCCCATTTCCCTGCACAGTGCATTATCATCTTCTCTTTCTATCTGCTTTTCTTGCTACAAAGCCTGTCCTTTGTAAAATGCTTTCCTCCAACATTTCTGAATACAGTCTAAGCATATGCAATCTGAGATTATCCAATTTCACAGTCAACTTCAATAAATTTCTTTGCCTGGCAAAGGGATGTAATAGTATTCCATACAGAAGAACGAACTGCAATTAAAAAACTTCAGCATTGCCAAGAAGCCACTGGTACAATACATTCATGCAATTTGAGAAAGGCTCATTGACAAAGGGAAAAGTAAAAAAAAAAACAACAACAACAACAAAAAAGCAGCTTACAAAATTATACTGGATAGTCTATTTAGTCTATTCCATTGGAAGGCTAGGAAGCAGGTTGAATGCTGAGACTGCTCCTTTTGAGACAATATCATAACTGTTATGAACAAGCTATTCAAATACTTCACATGGGAGAATGAGATTACCACTACTTGAAACTAAAATGACCTAAGAATTTCTCCATTTTTCAAAGAGAACTTAGGAAACTCAGGAAAATTTCTCTAAGCAAGCTAGCATTTTGTCTGGGAGACCAAAGACTCTTTGGAGAGCCTAGGAGACCAGCTGAATAAACTAATTTTGCACATATCCAGAAGTAATCATTTCACCACTGATCACTGATGTGTCACTGAAATTTGTGTTCTCATAGCCTTCAGGAACAAATGTACATCAAATTCCTCACAAGAGCTTTGGGGACACTCATAAATATCAGCACTCATAATTTGAAGCATAATTTTCATCAAATTACAATACTCAGATTGTTACTGAATGATTTTCCTTGCCTTAAGATGTTCAGAATATTACAACTGAGGAAATTTTTCTACTCTAGTCATGTGATCAATTGTTTTCAAGGTAAACAGTGAGATTTCACTATTACAAAATATCTGAAGCTTTCCTCTCCCTCACTTAGTGTATTATGCAGCACTTACAAAGCATTTCCAACATTTTTGTTATTTCAAATTCTTCAACTTGCCCAAATTCCTGGTTTAAAATATCATTTATTAAAAAATTTTACTACTCTTACTGTTGCAGCAGCATCACCTACAGTGTACAAAGTGAACTGACAAAAGAATTTAGAAGACAATCCTATATTCCAAAATAACTATATGCAAAGTTTCAATGAATCATTAAAGAAACGCATCCGAAGTCCAAAATAACTGGTGACACAAGAATTTGTTGTACCTAAGCAGCTCCCAACACTGTTTTTATCACGTGACATGGCAAACTGACTTTCAGAAGAACAATCAGCACAACATATCCAGTCTCCGTAGCAATAAGAAATTAAATAAGCTTGTTTAAAAATAATAAGTTAGTCTAAGTGAGCATCTCTTTAGATCTTGTTATAAAAGCTCCTTATCTATTCTCTAAAAAGGTATGTGCATGACAAATATCTGATTCACCCATATGTCACTGCAAATTCTGAAACTGTGGGGGAAGTGAGTCAAAGAAATATGAATATACAATTCCTATAACCTGAAACGTGAATATTAAATGACAAAGTATTTGCATTGTCTCAATTGCCCTACATCACATGAATGTCAAACTCACTTATGCCTATCTCTCCCTCCCTCAAAGTGAGTAGTTTGGTTTGATGTGTCATCAAAAGCAGAATTAGTAACATGCTAAATACTTTTTAAGAAAGCTTTATATTTGTCATTTTCAGATACTAGTTCTGCTATGCAATAAAAGGCTTGGAGGAATCTCAGCTGCGGCACGTCACGACTGACACTAAGCACTCTGCCTGCGCGTGCAGAAGACAAACACTTCTCTCCATGATAAGGCCCAGATTACTAATCCGACTGAACATTTGGGATAGGTTTGTTGTTTACTATACCTGTGAATCATCCCAAGATCTGAGGCATCACAGGTTACTCTAGAGCTTATTTAGAATCATAAGAAGAAAAATCACACTATTACAGCAGCATTTACCTTCAAAAGTCTGTCTTAAGCTAAATCACATTTAGACAAGAGGAGGGTTAACATTCTTTTCTTTGGGCATAGCTGTGGCACAAAGTCGAGCTGGAGACAAGTCACTACTGGGGCCAATATCAATTAACACCTTCACTAATGACCTGGATGCTGGGACAGAGTGCCACTCAGCAAGTTCACAGACAATACAAAACTGGGGAGCAGCTGATACACCAGATGGTTGTGCTGCCATTCGGAGGGACCCGGGCAGGCTGGAGAACTGGACTCAGACGAATCCCTTGAAGTTCAGCAAACGGAACCGTCAAGTCCTGCACCAGGGAGGGATAGCCCTAGGCACCCATACCTGCTGGGCGCTGGAAAGCACCTCTGTGGAGAAGGATCTGGGAGTCCTGGTGGACAAGCTGATCACCAGCCAGCGATGTGCCCTTCGCGGCAAAGCCAGCAACATCTGGCACCGCATTGGGAAGAGCATTACCAATGGGTCACTGCCAACAACACTGCCCACAGGGGCTGTGGCATCTCCATCTGTGGAGATATTCAAAACCTGACGAAATGGTCCTGAGCAACCTCTTCCAGCTGACCTTCCTTGAGCTAGCGGGAAGCAGCTGCACCACCTCAGAAATCAGTACTGTTGATACTGTTTGGCCACAACTGCTGCTTACGATAGAGTGGATGATAAAGTGGGCAGCCATGAAAACCTGACAGCAGGATAAGAGATAAACATCAGCCCAAGGAAAACAAAAAGTCATGCTTAAATAATCAGACAGAAGGAAGACAGATCGCATGGAAATGTCACTGAAGAGGACGGATAATCCATTCTTTACTGCTTACATACGTGAGGGTACATACAGAAAGGTATCTGACATATTCTATAGAACTGGAAGCACTGAAGAAAGACATAAATCTTCCTACTCAATTTAACTAACACTAGGACCACTCAGCTCAATTCCTACTGACCAAAGTAAGAACTTGCTGGGAAGAGAGAGATCCCCATACTAATCTCAGGGTGGAACTATACAAGACATCTACCAGAGAAAATAGTGTGGAGTAATATTAACATGAAATAGTCTCCAAAACAAGTCCTAACTGGCTCTAGATCTGAGGGCTAGAATGCCAATCTAATGTGTATTTTTGAAAAAGAAAAAAAAAGAAAAACCACAACAAAAACCCCACCACTTTTACACATGCACCAAAGCAGCCATTTCCACTACTAGAACAAACATTTCATTATTCCAGGACAGCAACATCAGTCTGTTCACAATGAACATCGACAGGGTGTTTCTGTTCCCCTCCCTGCCCCCTTATATTTAAAAGCTGTATCAGATTTGAGGTTTGGAAAATACTGCTTGCAGACAGTGCTAGGTACTTTAACAAATTTAAGAATATCATATATCCAATAGAAGGGAAAAAAACAGGACCTTGATATTGTGATTTGTTCCAGATTGGGCAGACAGCTACACCAAGAATCTCCCAAATATCAAGTAAAATAAAAAAATAATTTAAAAAAAAAAACCAAAAAACAAAAAAGGAGGGGGGTTAGAACTGGACAAAATAGATATGCGAAGAAAGAAAAGTCTTCTTACATTTACCTTAGACATACACACATTCCCTTGTATCTAGGCTCATTATCTAATTGTCACTATTTTCATGGCTTATATTTCTTAATATTAGTCTAATGACTTTTTAAAATTAAGCTTGATGTTGTCCTAAGTTCAGCTCACTAATATTCTTTCCTCTGGAGCTGTAATGGTAGGTTTATTAATATTTTAAACTCTCACTTACTGTTAAAACTTAACAAAACAAAAACCACAGACCCACTAAATTTGTCAGAAAATCTTCCTAAGGTTTTTTTAGCTTAAATTCAACTAAAGTCCATGAAGTTTTTAGTCCTGAATCACTCATGTTCTTCTGAAAACTAAACTACTTGAAAATTATTTTTTCTTGTATGCAGAATTTTTTATTCCCTTGTACCACTGCTCATACTTTTTATGACACTTTCAGCGCTTCTTACCGTGCCAAGGCTTGGACTTTTGTGGCATGTCGCTCTTCCTGTTCTGCTACCTTCCTTCTCCAGTTGTCCATTTCCTGCCTTAGCACTGCAGAATGCTCCATCTCTCCATCAAGCAGATTTCTCAGAGATCTGGAAGGTGGCAGCAGCCTCTGTTAGAACCCTGCAAACACTACCTCGTAATTAGAGGACACTCTACGAATCACAGAGTAGGTTGCCTGAATTATACCATTAATGTCATCCTAAAATTTAAATATTCAATGTAATAAATTCACCTGATTTGATTATACAAAGATATGAAAAACTACAAGGAAAAAGGACCTAATCAAAACAGTTTTAAGTGCTTACTATTAATTTGCACTACAATTGCATCAACATGCCCAAAGCACAACCTATTATGGCATTTATGGTAGCACCACGCAGAAAGAATTTATTACAGACAACAGCTTATAGCCTGCTTTCAGTGCTTCAGTACAAGTCCACACATCTCAGGAATAATCAATAAGCAATATATTTACTAGCAAGAGCAGGAGACAGGCAGGGGTCTTGCCTCTACTGAGAGCACTGCCATAGACCTCTGTGTAAAACCTTCGATGGGACAGCAAGAGTCAGCATGATGCATAACGGTAAAACCCAAAGCATCGTGGTCCTTCTGCCAAAACTCAGAGAGCTGAATGGAGCAGTAACTTGCAGTTGTGGGAGTGGGGAGGATGAGAGGCAGGAAAATGGGATCAGCTGGTAGTCTTGACAGTAAAAAAAAATTAAAAAAAAAATCTATAGAGAAACGTAAATTACCAAAACAGCCCTACTACAGCATAACAGAAGTATGTCTTGAATACATTTGTATTTTCATTCATCTAATGATGTGTTGCAATAGACTAAATGAATACAAAGTAGGTTTGATAGCATTTTAAATAAGCGACTGATCATTCTTACATTTACATCATCGTTTTGCCCCAAGTGAACATAAAGACACAAGTGACAGCCAATTTCAGCATAACATTGTTAGTCATTCTGCATCGCTTCTGCACAGGAAGGGGAAAAAAGGAAATTTTCTGAATATTTGTATAAGGACAAACTTTTACTCATTTGGAAAGCTATCTTAAGAGATTTTAAGAATCTTTTAGCTATAAGTTTTGGTTTTGAAGAAACTACAACTGGCAAAAGTGTCCAAGATACAAAGAGTTATATGTGATTCAAATTTAAAGCAAAAAGTTGACCTGCAAACATTAGTCTTCAGTATCAACAGTTGAATATTGAAGTATTAAGCTTACCTTTCACAGATAAACAATATATACATGAAAAAGGCTACACAAAGATTAGGCATAGCTTTACACAGAGGACAGCTTGTATTAAAGAACAGATTTTTTTAAAAAATTATAGTGCCTCTTGACTAAAAAAAGAAAACTACCTATTCTGTTCTTCCAGTTCATCCTTTCTATTCATCATGGCCACAATAGCTTGACGAAGTTCATCTAAAGAGAAGGGACAAAAAAGATGAATTTCTGTGTGTATTTTTGCTCATTTCAGATTTAAAAGCCATGTACATAGTGGCACTAATTCAGCAACATGCTTAAAAGGATGCCAACATCATTTGCTATTCAGCAAAGCACATAAAAATGCTCTTAATCTCATCACTAATTTGAGCAATCTTTCAAAAATGGTGTTATTTAACACACTATCAGAAGTATTGATCAAATCAAATTAGTCTGCATCTGGCTTTAACACAAATGTTTACAAGTTTGCCTGTGGCTCAGCTGTTTTGTTTAACTCGCAGACATATGGGACAATGCACCTTTTCACTACGTGCATATTAATGAGATACGCTGTTACTTGTTTAACTTCTTCAACTTGCTTGTTTTCCTTGCCATGATTTCTGACACAGGAAATGTAACCATGACAGTGAGACCAGAGAAGAGATAATGTCATTGCTTCTTTGTGGCATTCCTTCTCAAACTCAATCTTACAGACTGTCTTAAAGAGAATGGAATTTCTGAATCTGGCAATTTCCTATAAAAACCTTTTTATTTCCTATAAATACCTTAAAAATACTGTCATTATATCAAGAATAAAAATAAACACAATTAAAAAGACAGAATTTTAGAATTTTTAAAGACTTCGTTAGGGTTAGGTTAGGTTTACCAGCGATACCAGAGTAGACAAATACCATACAGAAAAGTGTCAGCTCAAAGCACTGCCTCACCCGGAGTCCTTCTGCTCCTATAAAGGTTTTACCATATAACTGTACAGCTGTACTATTACTATTTACAATAAATTTACAGAAAAATATTAGGACTTAATCATCTAATCTAAAAGAGATTCTGACCTCCAGATCTTGCATGAAGACCTGAAATACAACAGATCTTCAAAGATTTGAATGGCTTCTAGCAAACATCAGAGTGGATACATGTCCTAAACTAGACTTTTAAACAAAATTTCATTAACAATTTCACATGTTAATCACTAATTTTAAGAGACCTTCTGCAGGGACACAATTAGATTAAAACATGCCTCCCAACAGCTAAATGAAATGCTCCTGTATTTATATATAATAAATCAGCCAATTCTGTTCCACAAGTATTCGAAGCAGATGTAAGCAAATTTTTTGTGCTTTTACTGAAAACTTACTAACAGAACTGGTATTACCTCTTCAAGTAAGCAAAGCCATTGGACAATTTTCCCCTCCCCCCGCTGCATTCAGTTCACTCATTTACCCGTGTCTTTCTTAATATTTTCTATAGTCACGGAAATTTTTGCCGATTCAAAAACACCTTAACGTTGTCCTGTGGACCAGATTAAGTCTGCCAAACTCTAGTAGCGGACAAAGGTTGAAAGTTTTTGCTACGTCAGTCAGATGCGTCAGCTGGTGCAGACACCACAACTCCAGCCCGGCACGGGTAATCTGCTGGCACGATCCCTGGCAGGATTCGGCAGGGATCTCTCTCATATCACTTCAAGTCAGCCAATCCAAGTTCTTCATGCTAGATTTTTTCCAAAACAGCTCTGCTTCTTTGGCCATGGAGAAAGTACATGATTATTTTCCTACCCATTCCACATTACAGCTTGAGAACTGACTGACATTAGCAAGAAACATTTCAGTAGGTCATTAGAGGGATTTTACACTCCATTAATTCAGCACAGAAAGAATAATTATTTTTCTAGAGTAACAGCATCTTTATATGAGTTCTCTATACAGCTATCACCAAAAAAAAAAAAAAAAGAATCCTGATCTTGTAGAAAAGCCAAAAGTGAAATTTGTGGTTATTAAATGCTAACACATAGTTTAAAAAAAATAAAAATTTTTAAAAAGTCTGGAGACTTCTGCTTTCTCCCTCGATAATATTACTCACATTGAACACCAAAGCAGTGATTACACAGCTACTTTAACGAGTCTTCCTAAGGCTGTGGGTTCAGCAAAAATGACATTCCAGCTTGCCTTACCCATCATCGCTACCACCTCCCAGGTTCAGGCACCAGTGTTCATACACACACCGTGACCCGGCAGGAACTGACCCAGCCCCAAACTGGAGCTGGGCTACTTTTCAGACAGGCAGCTGCCAAGGGATCTGTCTGCTGGGTTTAACGCTGCGGCTGGCACAGGGCTCACAGCAGAACACAGCCAGGGCAGAACAGAACACCTTTTTAGTCAGTCAGGATGAGGAATAAAAGGTGAAATACTCTTTTTTGCAAGAGGAAAGTTCACATTGCATTGAAGTGACCAGGTAACCACTGCAATTTATGTAGCAATTGTAGAAAAACTTAGACTGGAAAGATCATATATGACAAAATATGCTGTGCTCCATTATTTTCATGACTATTTTTCAAAAGATGGTCTACAATAGCTTCTATTGACTCACATTTATTTTGAAGGAAAAACAAACCCAAAAAAACCTCACAAAACACCAAACCCTACATTCTGAGATTTATTTAGTTCTATTATTATATTTAGCTATAAAATATCAAACTTGGTGATCGTGAAACTCAACACACTATTAGTTTTCTTTTGGTCATAATGAGACACTGCCTGAGGGCAGACTGGAAAGGTTGGGGGGGTTTGAGATTTTGTTCTTTGGGTTATTTTGTGGTTCGTTGGTGGGGTTTTTGGCAGTGGAGAATTGGTGGGTTATGACAGTCCTGAAAAAAATATGTAGCATTGTGAAAATGGACCACAATCCACCAGCCTATCTGTGAAATAAAAAATTGTTCTCAGGATGAGGAAGATAATCCAGTAAGTGTTCAAGCCTTATACAAGTGTACAATACAAGCAAAAATCCTGCATAGGAAGCTTTCAGTACAGTAATACCCTGTACAAAATGAAGATCTGTAACTATAAAGTTGAACTCAGAGTCCTCCTCAAGAAAGCATCAAGGCAATGGCATTTTAAATATTTCAAGAGTGTCATTAAAATATGATAATGTGCAATCCAAGTTAGTTGCTATTATTTCTCTGACTCTGAATAAATTAAAGCCGTTGCTACTCAGACAAGTTATTGTAGCGCTGGCTCTGCAGTTATGCTGGGGTGACTACAATAATTGCCTGTATGCATACTCAGCCTGTTTAAATGTGTACTGATTTATTAACATTAAACAGTGAAGCTATAATAAATTGTCTCCATTTTTCCAATTCTACCAGCCTATTCAAATTGTAACCTTAACTCGCCTAATAACTTAATCTTCTTTCCCGTATTCCACCCAGAATCTTCTGCATGAGTCGAGAGTCAAAACCCCATCTTCTCTCACTCCCCTCTCCCACACACCACAGGGAAGCACAGCAAGCTTCTGAAAGCAAGATTCTGTTAAAGACCATGGTTTGCATAAAAGGAGAAGAAAAAAGCCTCTTGATATCATAGATATCAAATAAATACAGAAATAAATAGATATAAAATAATATAGAAATAAAAGATGTTAAAATGCTTTTTATTTCCATTTGCCTCATTTTTCCTGAGAGTTATGGAACTGACAATACTGTAGAGACATAGCAAAGCAGAAACTCCAAATTTCATTATCACGTACAGGACAAAAATGAATGCTTAATTTTGGACCACAAAAGCAAACACACTTCATACTCAGTATTTCTCACTAATTTACTTCAACTATGGATAGCAGTGGAGATGTGGAAGGAACCATCAAGGCAAACAACTAGCCATGGCTGAGAGTCCAGGGTTCCAAGGAGGTGTGTACAGCCTGGGCTTTAAAAAAAATGCTTCACTGCCACACCTACATTATTTCTTCTCGAAGTCAGGAGTATTAAGGAGTCGTATTTTCTATCAGTTAAACACAAGAACTATACAGTTTATCATCAACACTTCTTTAACGTCTCCATTCATAAGAAATATAAAGGAGTCAAACATTCACTAGTGTAATTAAATAAAGTTACTGAGAAAAAAAAATCAGAAACTTTAATTTCATGATCTTTTGATGTAAGTAATCAAATAGAACTATAAGGACACCATCCTATTTAATTCAGGCATAACATTCATTACTTTCAAAAATCATGGTTTCTTACTCTTACTTATACTTCTTGAAAAATTTTAGCAGCATGTCAGAACAGTCAGCTCAATGCAAAGTAAATACAGTATCAGACACTGTGGTAGGTTCACTTCAAATCTGCCAGAACATCCACAGTTCGTAAGCTTTTGTCTGTGTGTTATGCTTGCCTCCAAGATCAGTGTATGACCATAACCTAATTTGTTCAGCAGACGTGTCTCGTTCATTGTGTGGGTTAGAAAAAGGAATAAATAAATTTAAAAAAAAATAAATTCAGGGTTGTAGCAGCAAGCATAAATTTGGCATTTTCTGACTTCTGGACTTCACAACCTCAATCTTTCCCCCCCCCCTTTTTTTTTTTTTTTAAATAAAACAGTGGGAGGATGGCCAAGTAAAAGAAAAAACTTCAGAAAACTGTCTGATGTTAATGTCCTACTTCTGAACTACTTTGTGCTTGCTATGTCATTTATATTCTGTAAAGTAACATTAGTGGAAAGATACACTGCTGTTATTAAGGATCAGCATTCATCACCAACATATCTAAAATTCCAGTGATAACCAGAGTGTCATAAAGATAGAGTAAGATAACTAGTGAAGTCTTGCCAATTATGTAATCTTAAGAGATATTTTTGCAACAACTTCTTAAAAAAGAACTCCCATGTGCAAACCAGTAATTCCAAACCAGGTCTTTATCAGTAAAAAAGAGAACATAAAAAATCAAGGAATGTGCTAATTGAAGCTTTCATATTAAACTTCACTTCTTAAAACACCAAAAATTATTTTTATTGTTGAAATTAATCTGTAGTACCTATTTACTAATAAAGCAAATATTTGCTCAAAACCATTTTTTAATTCACTTGCATACTTCTGCAAAAGCAAGCTTCTATAAAGCTTTTCTAAGGCCACATAGGAGCACGAAACACATAAAAAAATGGTGCTGCTTTCAGAAACACCTGCCAATTTCCCAGCACCCTCCAGAAAAGTCCTAAGTTTCACAACTCTTCTGCTGTTTAGCCAGAGAGCGGAGCAGTATGACTTGCGATCACCTGTTATGAAGAATGAGCTGGAAGTGAAATCATCTCTCAGCGTGCACAAGGTCACACAGCACTCCTCTGCAATCCCGCAGATGGAATACCAGGGTGGGCTGGGAGCAGGCTACAGCAACCAGTCTTTTATTTTCCCAAGTGCAAATTTACACAGATATTTTCAGAGGCAAATAAAACTGCCAACAGACTGTTGCATCTTAAATCTGAAGTCTGACCTTTAAAGACATGCTCCCTAAGTTGCCTGCATGAACACTGGCTATTACGGCTTTACTTAGTGCTCCAAAATCTCGTAAATATTATCCTGTCGTGTCACTATATTAATAGGGCAAATTTGAGTAGGAAACAAATCAGACAATATAGTGTTGGCCTTCTACCGTATAGAAGGGTTCTGGCCAAAAAAACATCCCTCAGATGAACTGCAGCTTTTTTCTCAGTGGTGAAATGCATATACCCTCCTTCCACTGCTGCGCTTTCAGAGAAGGCACAAGAATTTAGTGCCTGTCAGGCACTGGGGGCAACCGAGTTACACAGCAGGTCAGGTCAGAAGCTGTCTGGAGGACAGAGAAAGTACAAAAACATAACCTGGTTTACTGACACAGCCAGGATGAAAATAGAATACACCGGTTTGATTACTCAGTAAAGTTCTTCAGCGATCATAAAGAACTGGGGGCTTTCTCAAGAATATAAGAAAAAATATGGAATAGCGTACAACGCTACAGCCTTTCCTAACCTTTGTGGTTAAGCGCAACTTTAGTTGTCCCACTATAATTTTCCTCAGTTTCTAAGTGCCCAATTATTTACTAAAAATAGCAAAAAAGGACACAAGAAGATACAAGGAGGACAAGAAGGACACAAGTAGCATCCTTCTAAAATGAAAGTTTCAGAACTTTCTGTTTTCCCCCACTGCAAAAAACAAAACAGGGAGACCTGTGCTGGTAGGACTGATTTTTCTGGTGTAAAACAATGCTGAAAATATGATCTTCCAATAGCAATAACTGGAGCAAAGTTGTTTGTGATTCAAATATGACAAGATAAATATATTTTTTTTAAAACTGGAAAATGATATAATGAAATAGGCGCATAAATATAAAACTTCTGACCAACTTAGTTCTTTATAAAATTGGTTATAAGACACAGCAATCTGTAAAGTATGGCAAGTTTTCAAATGCTGTCTAACATATACAGCAAAACTGTAACTCTGTGGATAAGGATTTGTGGTACCAGTATTTTCTTTGAGATGGATCTGCTGCTAAGTTAGCCTATACCTTACAAATGCATGGGACAAATTCAGGAAAATCATTCAAAATGGCAGAAATTTTAAATTATAGCTTCTCATAACATAATTCTCTAGCCTGCGTATCAAAAGAACTGAGAAAAGGTTAGTACTATACTAGAAAATTGGAAAGGAAGAAGGAAAAGAATAGATTAAAAAAAAAATTATTTCAGGCTTTGTCTTGAGAAGTAAAAAGCACAAAAATCCAGTCACTGGAGACCTCACAGCTTTTCTCTCTGCACTATTGCATTCCATTTTTCTTGTCTGATGTGTTAGAATTAGTTGCTATGCAACCAAGCTATAAGCCCCACCATTTAATAATTCTTCTGCTAATTGCGACAGAGAAAGAGAGCTTCAGTGTCTGGCTTTGTCATAGCACTGAATTTTCCTGCACGGAGAATCTACAACCAGTAACAACAAACTTGAAAAAAGCATTTTTGTTGAATGTATCTGGGATTAGCTATTATAAAGGTTTTAATTTATTTGTATAGTCAGCTGATTTTTTTTTTTATAATGATAATTAGGTTATTTACTAAGTGTTCTACTGGCTTTACAGATTGTTTTGACATGCTTCCCCCTCTCCTTCCACCAAAACCTTCTCTGAAATGGGAAACTAATGACAGCATGTATGCTTCTCTTGATCCTGCAGTTCATTTCATTTACAAATTGCTAAGTATCAAGAATTGAAAATCTCAAGATGTACTTTCTATTTTATAGCTGCCTTAACTACACATAGGAACTAACTGAGCAACTGAAGGAGACCAATTGCGGCCCCTGCTGGTACCTAATACACCTACGAAACAATAAAATCAATAATTGAGTGCAATAAAATCAGGAAGTTTCCCATTAAAGTTCTATTACTGAAAAAATAAAATTAAAATGTAAGAACAAGAGGATATTGCAGTAATAACATGAGCAGAGACTATCCAGTGACCAAAGCATCACAGTACCTATCAACTGTAACTCCATCTACACCTTCAATTATGTCACTTAAAAGTCTCAAATCAACTGCCCACTTCATACAGCGCTTTGGAAGAAAGGATTTTTCAGCTTGTAAAACTCAGTCAGCAGACCCACACCAGAGCCTGAAACAGCACCCCGCGAAAACGCATGGTCTGCCTCCTTTAACATACACTGGCACAGAGTTCGTTTGAACATGACATTAGAACATCTTAAGGGTTCATTCATTTTATGATATCGTAAATGGGTTTCAGAAAAGAATCTTGGCTGCATCACTTCTAACATCCCAAATGTCATCATCTGCAATTTGTGCGTATTTACATTTATAAAAAGCAACAGACAAACACCCCCAGACCTTCAGGAACAAAACCATGTCCACAGTTCAGTCACAAAACTTCCTGTACAGTGAGGGAAATAAAACCACACTGGCTTTCATGTTTAGACAGCTAGTCAGTTTAAGAACTAAGTGTTTGTTCTACAATTTTATGTGAAGAAAAAAGATTAAAAATGGGGTAAACAAATTGCCTGTACTTCTACTAATTTCTTTCTATAGCAAAGGCTGTGTTATCCTGTCTAGCGCAACTCAACAGCAGTGAAAATGTGATTGCCCTCCACCTGAATCCTAACTAAATTTTTTTGCTTATGAAAGCCCATATTTACGTTTGGAGCAGATTTCCATATCAAAATCACACACTGAGTGTACACAGAAAGAGTTCCGGGCTTGTTTGGGGTTTTTTCAGACTAGGCACTAGTGAAAGCACATAAAATAAGTAAGGTCACACTAGAACCAACTGTTAGTGTTTTCAGAGCTCGCAGAGATTTAAAGATGTTCATCAAATTGAATCATTATTGTTCATTTAACCACTCAAGCCACAGCCAGTATAATCACCAGCTGCAATAAACCATAACCTGGGATCTGCCAATTCACAATCATTTTAGAGCAGCCATTTCTAATGTGGCCAGCATATCAGAAATGAAGTGCTGTATGCCTCTCTAAAGAGATCTTACTGAAAGAAAAGTAGAAATGAAGAGTTATAGGACTTTCAAAGTTAATTCCATCAATCTAGATACATCAAGGAACTACTTACTAATTGTCATGGATTCCGGCACAGTGGCTGAAGGCAACATATTGCTTAAAGTGTTCACTTGAGCTGGAGGACTGACTTCCACTCTAGTCATAAAAGTACAGTATCATCAATAAATGAAAACAAAATCCTGAATTCAAAACTTCAGAAAAAAGGATTCCAGAAACTAGACTTGTCATCATGTACACCAATATTCAATCAACTTACGTTTAATTATTCTTTAATGTATCTGAGTCTGATTTAAGAATACACACAAAAAGATCCAAATCAACAGGCCATGGAGAATACAGTAAAAAAATAACATAGAAAACAACATAAACCCTATTTTCAAAACCAGGAGGCTAAATCTGACTATGTGACTTCTTCAAGATAATTAGGAAAAGTTCAATATGTGAAACTATGCAAAAAAGGAAGTGTAGGCTTTTGTATTTGTCTTTCCAAACATCTGCAAAAGTCCTCTTTGTTTTCCACTACTGAGTAGCCATGCATTAGGTAACAATAAGAAGCTGGCAGATGCAGGGTGAAGATTTTTTAAGAAAAACATATTTGACACGTACCTGTAAGGAAGATCAGATCTCCTTGGAACCAGTTCTACCGCATGAACAACATGTTCGTGCCCCTCTCCATTCTCCAAATTATCTAAGGCAGAATGCACAAGCATAGCTTTCTTCAGTTAATAGTACTTACAAAATAAAACAAAAACAAACCCGAAAGGAAGTTAGTTACATTTTTAACCAGAAATACCCATCTTTTACTAAAGCTTTTAAATACTTTAGATTCTTTCTCCAAGGTTGGCTTCTGCATTCACCCTGAACACCAGCAGGATTGTAAAGTCCCTTAGGGACACAGCCATCAGTTTGGAAAAAGAATTAATATTGCACAATGCCTAAATTATAATTTAGAGGGACATTTTACATTGATGACAATGTTGCAAAGCTATGAAGAGACTTCTTACTGAAGTTGGTTTTGCAAGCCCCCAGAGTTGAACCACCACATGGCATGATACTCATTACAAATCTGTTTGTGACTGCTAGAAAAGAATTTGTGGTTAGTCCCCAGTATGTGAAAGCTGGCAAAGACACCTTTATCATAGAATAGAATCATAGAATCATTAATGTTGGAAAAGACCTCTAAGATCATCAAGTCCAACCATCAACCCAACACCACTATGCCTATTAAACCATGTCCTGAAGTGCCACGTCTACACTTTTTTTTGATACATTTTTATGTATTCCTCACAGAGCATCATGGCTTTTCTCTGGCTCCTTATGCCTATGTACCAAACATCTGGAATCAGACAGATGAGAGATTTTTTTAAAAAGCATGGATAACATGCATCTGTCCACAGATTCCCACTGTCAGGATCAAAATATACACATCACAGGAACTGTCATTAAGGTAGTTCAGCTGGAAAGAAACAAAAATCACGTTTTAGTGATTTTTTCTGCATCTCGGTACACAAGGGTTACAAAGTTACCATAAAACAATTCTAAAATCTTGAGCTGAAATAGCACAGAATTTAAAAAGCAGGAATTCTAGGAAAAAAGTTAATAGGAATTAGTTATATCATAGAATGGTTTGGGTTGGAAGGGACCTTAAAGATCATCTAGTTCCAAACCCCCTGCTGCGGGCAGCGACCCCCTCCACTAGACCACGTTGCCCAAACCCTCACCCAGCCTGGTCTTAAACACTGCCAGGGATGGGGCATCCACAACCTCTCTGGGCAACCTGTTCAGAAGGACTATGTAGGAGAAAGTTCATTTTTTAAGCTGCAGAGTTTACTGAAGCTTAGTTCCTAAAATGCATGCTCCATTTTTGTTCCAAGCAACTGCATTTTGATTCAGGCTTTCTCATCTCCAGGTACATGGAGATATGATACGCCCCGACACATCCCTGAAGCACTGCAACGGACAAACTGAAAACACCGATATTAACATACAACACTATAGATTATGCTGTATTTCAAATATATGTGTCTTGTTCTTTATCTATATTAAGACCTATAAACCAAAATATTGGGTTAAACTATATATTTTACAAGAGCTCATTACAGGTTTCAGAAGAAATATCGTAACGAATGTGCCAGTGGCCAGGCTGAACTGCCCTCAGAAACAGCTAACCCCATTCCCTCAGATATCATTCATCCGGCACACGTGTAGCTCCAAAGTCAAGTCAACCACTGCCTAGGGCGGCTTTCAATCTCACCAAACTGCTGCTCTGGCTGGAGAGGGTGGCCGTACCCTCGTGTGTCCCTCCCGGGCAGCAGGACGGTCCTGCACACCAGCTCAGGACTGCTCGGAAGGGCCAGGGACAGCACGGGAAGTGGACATCGGAAATCGAGCAGCAGAACCCACGTTGCTGTTTCCCATAACTGATGAATACTCCTTTCACCAGCCCAATGCCGTATCGGTCTGGCTTGCAGGCTGCACCACAGGGTTTGCCAAAAAGGCGGACAGGAGGAGAACTGAAAATATCTGTACGCTGTGCCAGAAGGGATCTGAATGGGGCTGCTGTTGATCACCTCTCAGTCAGAGCACTGTCTACAAAACAGTTCTGAGAGGAAGCAAGACAAAACAAGGGCCTTTGGTATCTCCTTAATTCAAGCAAGCCCATGTTACACTTATTGTCATCCTCTCTGGTCATCCGTCTCCAGTCCTAAGTCTTGGCTCAGTCTCCTGACTCGATTTCAGCTACAAACACCTAGCTCCAGCTCCTGACTGGTCACTAACCCGCAGCTCAACCCCAAGCTCCCGCTCCAGCCCCCCAAACCTGAACGTTTACTTCTATTGCAGATTTCAATCTCGTGCAGTCAAACACTTGCCAATCTATGGACTATTTCCAACAGTCTCTGTATAAAACTTAAGAGAACACTATGCCATGAACTACATGTTTTCTAAATCCATTCCTTCATAAACTGAAAAAAAATCAAGATGTACTTTCTATTTCTTTTGAACCACAGGCACTCCTTAAGAGGAAAATACAGCAGAGGGCAGTACAGCATTAGTTTATGACTCACATTATTTTTATCACCGAACTTAAAAACTAAATTACGCCTATTCACAGGCCTTCAATTAACAGACCATTTAAACTTTTGGCACATATATATGCAAAAAGTATGAAATATTTTACAATTAAAACATTATTTGAATGCCACTGAAGTTTTTAAGTAGTCACGGAAATGAGAATGCATATCCAAAGTTTTATAAAAGTACTGATGTATAAACAGCTAGCAAAATGTTAACTCGAGGCGGGGCGGGGGGGGTTAGGGGTGCTGGAAGGTTTTATTTGTTTGTTTTTGGTATCAATGCAGATACTGGAAAAGCACCAGGTCTTCTTATCCATACCTCTGACCATCTTCATTGCTTGCTTCAAGATCTTCTGTAACTGGTCCATAAGATTCTGAAAGTGCAGAACCCCAAACTGCCTACAATACTGCAGTTGAGGTCACATCAGAGCCAACTCACCATGAATTTACAAATGACACTTTCATTTATGCATGTCTGTATGAAGTGTGATTTTACTGCAGAAGCATGACACTGCTAATTCAGTATCAGCTTGTGACTCGTTGTAGAAACCCACTGTTTTCTCCTCCAGAAAACAACTTGAGGATACTGTCACATGAAAAATTAGGTAAAACCCAGCAACTGGAGGTCGCAGCCCAGAAAGCCAACCATGTCCTGGGCTGCGTATCCAGCAGCGTGACCAGCAGGTCAAGGGAGGGGATTCTGCCCCTCTACTCTGCTCTGGTGACACCCCCCCCTGCAGTGCTGCGTCCAGCTCGGGGGTCCCCAGCACAAGAAGGACATGGAGCTGTTGGAGCGAGTCCAGAGGAGGCCATGAAGATGATCAGAGGGCTGGAGCACCTCTCCTATGGAGACAGGCTGAGAGAGTTGGGGTTGTTCAGCCTGGAGAAGAGAAGGCTGCGGGGAGACCTTAGAGCAGCCTTCCAGTCCCTAGGAAAGCTGGAGAGGGGCTGGTGACAAGGGCAGGGAGTGACAGGCCATGGGGAATGGCCTGAAGCTGGAAGAGGGGAGATGGAGATGGGATGTGAGGCAGCAATCCTTCCCTGTGAGGGTGCTGAGGCCCTGGTACAGGGGGCCCAGAGAAGCTATGGCTGCCCCGGCTCCCTGGCAGCGTTCAAGGCCAGGTTGGATGGGGCTTTGGGCAACCTGGGCTAGTGGAGGGTATCCCTGCCCATGGCAGGGGTGGGACTGGATGGGCTGTGAGGTCCCTTCCAACCCAAACCAGTCTGGGATTCTTTGATTTCCAAATCCTTTCCCAAAATATTATTTCCCAGCCAATCATTCCTCATCCTGTGTATAAACAGATAACAGCTTCTATTGAACTGCATCAAATATTTGATATTTTTTCCAATCTGTCAAGATTAATTTGAATTCAAATTCTCAAACACATTTTCAGTTTCTTCCATCTTAGCGATATCTAGAAAACAAATAAGGATACTTTCTATTCAACCATCCTAAACATTAAGAAAATACCATGCAAGACCACAGCTTAATCCCAACAAAACTCCAGCTTATTTTGACATTGATAAATCCTCCTCAACTAAATATCTACTCAAATGGAAAGCTCTGATTCAGATCTAGAATAAATTTTAATTGAATCGCCTGTCCCGGTTGTGCAATATCTCCTGTGTCCTTAAAATCCCATTATTTCTTACTCTTGTCCCATGTTAGAAATTCAGTTATAAAGTTTGCTGGAATCTGGTAAATTAAAATACCTACCTGTTTGGGTGTAAGAGCCAACAGCACTGACAGGAAATAGAACTTCTGAGTCATCATTCAGGACCTGCAGCGGAGTCCAACTGCATATCTGAGAATTGCATGTGCCTATGTCATGAGGCCTAGATTTAAAACAAATAAACAAAACAACCTATTTATACAGTCAATATCCATGCTCACAATGCTTATACTTCTCTTTATTTCAACTGCCTGCCAATTTCTTGGTTCAGACATACATAAATTCATTAAAGATCAGACCATTCCGAAGGAGGTGAGACAAGCAGTGTTTGCCTCTTTTTCTCTAAAGGTATTTCTATGTCAGAAATAAAGAGGGCATATGAGTATCTAAAATTATTCTTTTTCTCTGTTTTGCTTTGTCTTGTTTAACTATCTACTCTGATGATAACAGGCTTACTCGGTTTAAAATAGATAGTTTTACTGTGAAGCCAAAATGGAGTTGATGTCATACTAAGAATAAGGAAACTTCAAATAGGCCAGAATTACAGCCTGGCTATATCATGCAACAATTTCAACAACTGAGAACTTCAAGGAGAACAAGTCTGAAATCTCAAAATTTTGGTTTTCGGTGGAACTTAGAAGCATCTCGGTGGTCCAAATAGACAAGGGGGGGGGAAGAAGGGAAATAAAAGGTGGGTGGAAGGGAAGGGGAAAAGAGAAAAAATAAATAGAGGAAAAAAGAGGGGAGGAAAGAGAGGGAGAAAAAAAGAAAAAAGAGGGGAAAAAAGAGAAAAAAGAAAAAAAGGTGGGGGGGAAGAGAAGGCCTACAGTTCAACTAGTTACACAAATTTGCCAGTACCCATCAAAGAAAGGGAGGGGAAGCATGGAAAAATTACCACTGGCTCCTGCAACATTACTTACTCTTCAGAAGCTTCAGGTTCACCTTCTGTGCCTTTATTTCCTAACGTTTTTCCATACAGCTCATCCTCATCTGCATCTTCATCATCAATGCTCTTCACATCGAGTTTCTGGTACTCACACTCCCCATTCATGAACACCGAATTCCTCTTCCACGAATGGTTACTTTCATTACCGTTCAAATTTTTTCCAAGAGTGCTTTCAGATGAGGGTAATACAAAAACTGAAGATCTGTCTACGCTCTCCTCTGAACTTTCTCCTGTAATCAGAGGCTTCGTGGCATCCCCCAAGTTTTGCTCATCTTCCTCTTCATCAAATGAGATAATATTTGTCACTCTCTTCTTCTTTTTTCGATCTTTTTTATATTTCAAATCTAGTAGCAACATAAAGGTTTACATAGTTTAGAAAAGAAAAACAACATAATGCACTTGTTTTTTTCTTAAAAGTACTCCTGTACTAAATTAGTTTAGTAAAGAAAAAAACCACCTAGATCTACAAGGCATTTCATTACCTTTCCATACGCTTGAGCTTTTAAATCTTTAACTACCATCGTTATTTTATATGCCTTACATAAATCAGATTTTAGAAGATATTTTGGAGGTGCATTCATAACAGTATTCAATTGGAACTGGAAAAAAAAGTTCAACAAACTTATAAAATGAAATTTAAAATAGAAAGTTAGCCTTCCTGTCACTTTTTCCCATGGAATATGGCTAGTGTTTACTGCAGAGTACGTCTACACGACAGAGAAAACATGAAACACTTCTGTGGAGACAAAATTTAAAGGAACAAACTCACAACACAAAATCCACAACTTGCAATCAAATAAAGTTAGTTTTGTCTATATTCTGGAAGTTGAGCAGTCAGTTTTCAGAAAAAGAAATTAAACTTGCTCCCTCCCTCAGCTAATCAGTTCTTGGTCTAGAAACATACTGAAAATCCTCTTTGATTACATCACATCTATACTGCAACAGCACTTATTTCTAAATTATTACCTATTCTCACTGATTTTGATGTGCACATGAGGCTAAATGATCTTGCAAAGTGCAAGCACTAAGAAATATCAGAAATTTACTCACCGGGACAACTCACACTGGGACTAACCTGTTTTGTTTAATTCAAGTCCAACTGTTACATACCCCCAAAATGCATTAACATACTTTTAAGAGTAAGAGGATGTTAAAAGCCATTCTAGATGCAAACAGAATTCCAGCAAAGAACGCAGGCTTTAATGAAAACATCTGACTTGCTCTAACATTCAACATGTAATGGCATTTGAACAAACCCAAATTTTTTCAAGTGACATTTTACTGTAAGTTGTACATTACATGTACTGTACACATAACATACATTATGCTCTAGAGTCACATGCAGCATATGGTCCATCACTCTGTTATTTCATTTTGCAAGCCTATTCTATGCAAAGTTATCCCAAGTCAAGTATCACCTACTATTTTGTTGTTTAGCACTGTAAATGAGATTAAAAGCTTTACCACAAGTTTGTTTTGAAAACCATGTTTTGAGACACAGTCTATTTTAAATGCCAATAAAAAATAGATTTCATCTCAACTTCTGTTACTACCAGATAGCATTCACATGTGGGGTTTTTCCCTTTTTCTCATAACCAAAACAATTTAAAGTCCAAACTCAAACCTTGATTCTTAACTAAAAAAAATATAAATCCCACAATCTTCCTGAAGTTTTGTATCTTTGCAAAGCAAAACACTCTTT